GCTGATGTATACTTGCCACCATTTGGCAGGAAGATGGAGAAGCATGGAAACCATGCATGGATGGAAACTACACAAGTGTGTGAACCCAGGACAGAAGGCGCCGTCGTTATTTGTTTTTCGGCGCCAGGCGAAGACCTTTTTATTTAAGCAGCATTTTAAATGTTAATATTATTGAATTTTATCTGGCCAGGGCGGCTTGTTTTATATTGTATGTTTTATATTGTATATTTGTATTTTATTTTAATGTATATATTTTAAAATGTTATTTTAATTTATTGTTGTAAGCCGCCCCGGGGCTTCGGCGAATGGGGCGGCATAAAAATGTTTTAATAAATAAAATAAATAAATAAATAAAAGGTGAAATACTACAGTGTGTGATAACTGTACCGTGTGGCTTAGCACTGTATGTGAATATATGTGACGTGGTTCTTTGCCCTGTACCAGTGGTGGTGAACCTATGGTACGCGTGCTGCAGCAGGCCCACAGAGCCCTCCTTGTCGGCACACAAGCCAAGTCGCCCCAGCATCGCCCCAGCTGCCGAGCATCGGATAACAATGCACATAGGGACCATGCGCATGCTCGGAAAGGAGTAGCAGCACCAGGCGATGATGTCACGAGCTGTGACTCATTAGCCTCAATTTGTCTGAGCTTTCGTATGGCCAGTCAGTGTGCTGCCAAGGATATATATATATATATTTGCTTGGACTGGCTGTGAATTGTTTTTTCTAAACTTAAACCTCAGTATTCAGGTTTTATTGCCGTGTTGGCACTTTGCGATAAATAAGTGGGTTTTGGGTAATAGTTTGGGCACTCGGTCTCTAAAAGGTTCGCCATCACTGCCCTATACAATCAGGGTTAAGTTCTCTTTTCTGTAGGAACTTGGCTGCCCTTCTGTCATTTCCAGGCTGTAAGGAAGAAGGCTACCTTGAAACCAAGGAACAGTTATTTTGTTATTTCCTGCTTGAAATACCAAAGTCACCCAACCTGGAACAGAAACTATATATATATATATCACCAGCATCGTGACTGACTGAATGCTTGCTACACACAAGGCCAGCAAGGACCTGAGCGATGTTTGTTCAAACTCTGCAGTGAATTGTGATGTATTAGCAAGAAGCTTATGAATGATTCATTAACACAAACTCATAAATGACTGAGATAATATATACATTCATGAGGAAGTACTTGCCCAGTGTTGCAATAGGCCGCAAAGTAGGAAAGTATCAGCTTACAATTGACTGATGCAAAATGGCCACCACATATTCACCTTAAAACAGTGGAAATCCCCTGCAATGGATCAATATTACAGTGTGATGCTCTGTGTTATGCTATTAATATCAAGACTGGAGAATTTTCACACACAGAGAAAACTGGTTTGCAACAGATGTGATATAAACTAATTTAGCATGGGATTTTCTACCTTGTGTGGAAAAGCATAAAATTCAGCAGTGGTACATCACTATTTGAAGAAAAGTCAGTGATTACAACACAGGCGGCACTGGCTAAGCACCAAACACTAGAATATGAAATAAAGGAAGCATCGAGTGGCTCTAGCACCACTTGAAGTCACCCACAGCAGTAAGCCTAGCAACTTAACCACGAGGTGTGAAGATCAGCCTCATAGCTGATACACGCTCCATGGAGCAAGAAATGCCGGTGAGACTGATCAGAGGGCAAGAGAAGGGACTGGACTGTATCATCAGCAGGGCCTCAGGATTGACTCTGGAGCATAGAGGTGTTCCAGGTCAACTGCAGCCCAACCCAACTCAACTTGGTGTCCGGCAACCGCAGAGGGGTTGGACTCGATGGCCTTCATGGCCCCTTCCAACTCTACTATTCTATGATTCTATGTGCCTATGACAGCCTTCCCTAACCATGTGCTCTCTAGATATTTTGGACTACAACTCCCAACATTTCTGACGATTGTCTATGCTGCCAACATTACCAAAATCTTACCAGGGCACTAGGTAACCTATGGTATAAATTGGCATCTCCATACAAAGCATGCATCTCTGTGGTCTTGTGAACCTGGCAACCTGGAGTAAGGGCTCTTGTCCATCTAAACTGCCCCCAAAACACATCGTTAGGGTTTACCACCATCCCTAAGGGAAGCAACACTGACAGTAGCCTAGCAGGTGAAAGGAGAGCTACAACCTTCAGTCCAAACCTGGGGCATGTAGCCAGCACAACATGAGAAAGGCTGAAGCAAGACAGTGGGATTCAGGCAGCCCTCTTCAGAGTGCAGGATGGTCACCTGAAATCAGGATGCGATGGGCTGCTTCCCCACAATGAGCTGATGCCAATGGCATAAAAAGACTTCAGAGCACATTTTCAAAGATGACGGGTGGCCACCATTTAGAAGTGATGTACATTTGGGCCTGAGGAGACAGTGACCAGCTCTATGCCTGGTGTCACGTGATCTAGAATGATCAGGGGGTTTACAACATGTGGACACAAGTCCAGTTTCCTGGACTGGGTTAGGCCTATCCAGCTTTCCTAACTTTAAGAATTATTTGCTTTTCGTATTTACTTTGGCAACACTTGCTTTATAATTATAGTAATGCTAGCATTTTTATAAAATTGTAAATAACAAAAGAGCAATGAGTTCATTCGTTTTCCCCATCTTGGAAAACAAGTGGCAGGCACAATTTCCAGAGTGTAGCTATGTTAGCCTGTTGCAGGAAAATCAACGTGGAGTGTTAAAGATTAACACAGTAATTCTGGCATAAGCTTTCGTGCACTATAGGCCACTTCATCAGATGCACTGATCATAACGTAGTAGTGTTTCAGGTTTAGGGACAGTAAACACAGTATGCATGGGATGTGTGTGAGTGGCGGGGGGGGGAATCATAACTGCAAAAAGTGACAATAATGTTCTTAACAGTGGTCATTCACACTGCAGCTGCTGTGAATAACACAAATGTCCTAGCGCTAGGTAAACCATTTAACCAGGAACTCCATAAAATGGTGATGAAGTGGGTTCTGCTATATAAAAGCTTATGCCAGAATAAATTGGTTAGTCCTTACGATTCTTCCAAGACTTACTCTTGTTTATTCAGCACTGGTTTCATGCAGCACTACATTTTCCATCCTAAGTGTTGCTATCTCTCAGTGAGATCGTTCCTTCCCTCCTTCTGCTTATACAGTACATAATCTATGTTGTCTATTTCAAAGATTCCTTGCCTGCACACTTTCCCCATAATCAAGCTTCATTCCTTTTTGACAGTGAAGTTCTGTTCCATGTTGATGGGGCAATACTATTTATACAGGCTTATTCAGAAGCAAACCTCATGGAATTCAATGGTAAAGGTGCACAGAATTGCAGTCATAAATCTGGTGAAGTCAAATGGCGATGGCAAGCCATGGTCCGTCAGCATCACGATGATGCAAATCGTCAAAATCAGCTGTATGGCACAACTCTGTAACTCCCTTAAGACCCTCAGGAGAGCCGCTTCAGATGAGATCAGAGGTCCACCTGGTCTAGCATTCTGTTCTCACAGTAACAACCAGCCATCTGTAGGAAGCCCACCATCCCTCCCTCCATCTCTCCCTCCCTCTCTTCCCCCCCCCCCCCCAGCTTCGAGGGAACAGCCCTCCAATTCCGCACACAGCCCTGTCTCCCCTTTCTCCCTTTTCTGTAGGAACTCAGCTGCATTTCTGGCATATACATGCAGGCTGTGAGGAAGGAGGATGCTTTGAAACCTCCCCTTGGAACCCCTTCCCCATACTCGGTAGCCTCACAACCAGCATTGGGCAGCCTTTCCATTGGAAACGAGGTGTCCATTCAAAATGTCGCAAGCCAAACAACAAAAGGCCTTGCTGTGGGATCCAAAAAATGCAGACACTTACAACGTCCTCATCTTTGGGGGCCAAAGTCCATATCATGGGACAAAGATTGTTCTTTTATGGCTGTCCTCTCAGGGTTTGAAGGGTATCTGCACCGCCTTCCCTGTGCCCCACAACTCAACATCTTCACAGTATGGGTTGCAAGTTTTCCCAGAGGGCTTCCTTTGCCTTTGATTTCTGTGCAACAAGCAAAAAACAAACAGGTACAGTTCACTCCCGTGAAGTATCTGTGCAGGTGTGGATGGGTGGATGATGAAGGATACTGCTCAGCCTATTAAAGTGACAGTCCTAGTTCACCAGCATTTCTCGGTATTCCCTCCCGCTCAGTGATGTGCCTTAGCAGGCAATCACGCGCAGTTCAGCACACCGAAACCTCCCCGACGCATCTTTTTATGCGCCTCCCGCCCTCGCTGCCGATTACTTCACTTCTAAGGCTGGCCAAATTCCAGGGGAGAGCCCCAGTTCACTGTAAGACTTTCCATATGCTGAGGGAAAGTGTGTATGGGGGTGGGGAGAGTGTATAGGAGGGCCATTTAATTTTTACGGTGAAATACACCGGCGCTGGGGAAGCCCTGCCACCACCTGCCCCAGACTCTCACTCGACACGTGGAGAGAAGTCTCCGGTCGCTTCCTGGTGGAGGGCAGGCACACTCTCTCTACACACCAGCAGAAGCAGCTTGCTTTACAACTGCTTCCCACATTCCAGGGGTCGCTCCTGCCACCGAAACACAGGGATTCCCGCCCGCTAGGGGTGAACCCGGCTTTGCCGCAAGAGGCCATACATTAAGCCCAGGGGAACGAGCTCGGCAACAAGAGAGCGAAATCTAGAAGTGGCTCCGCTGCGCTTCGTTCAGAGTAAACATGATGGACGGCGATGGGGAGCGAGCGCTGCAGGAAGCCCTGGCCACGTACCCAGGGCAGCTCCCGGCTCCCCGCTTCCCGCTCGGGCGCCCTCCTTCCCGTCCGCTTCTCCCCTAGAGGGCGCGTGTTGGCCGGCCGCAACCGGCTCCTGGGCAACGTTTGCCGGGCTCCATAAAAGGGCAAGGGGCGGATCGCTGCCTTTCTCTCCCGGAGCAGCGGATTGGAAGGCGGCGGGGCTATAAATGCAGGCGGGGCGGGGTGAAACAAAGCAGTTTGCAAGGCGCCGGACTTGGTGAGGAGGGAGCGGGGGGATCCGGAGGAGAAGTGGGCGAGTGAGGAGGGAGTCCGCAAACGCCCGGCAGCGATCCGTGCGGCTTTCCTCCGGTGTCTTGATTGTGTTGCCTTCCCTCCTCACTGGCGAGTTCGCGGGCTTTATTCGAGAGCAAGAGAAGGGCGAAGGACACCTCAATGAAGGAAAGAAGAGCCAGCCAGAAACTATCCAGCAAATCGATCATGGATCCTAATCAGAATGTGAAGTGCAAAATAGTGGTGGTTGGGGATACCCAGTGTGGGAAGACGGCTTTGCTTCACGTCTTTGCGAAGGACTGCTTCCCTGAGGTACGCGTGGATTCGCTTGTGTGATTTATGGGGAGATTCAGCCCTGTGTAGGTTTAAAATAATACAGGCACAAGCAAGCGTAAAGCCCATTCTGGGTTTAGCTAACTTTCCTTCCGCGCAGTCGGTTAATCCATTTAAGCCCGTTGAGTCTGTTCTCGGAAAGGAGACCCTAGGACACTTCTTGCACGGGAGACGCTCCGCGGCGCATCTCCGGTGCGGGGATGAGCCACGCGGGAGCGCAGTTAATGCGGGATAGAATGCGAAAGAGCCCTGGAAGGGGCCGGACGCCCTGCGTGCATGCGCGCGGTTGCGCAGAAGAGCCCGAGGACGTGCCCGCTCAAGACTCGTGTGTGGAAAAGGCTCCTTAGATTGCCGAGATAGCCCCTGGGCTTCAGCCTTGCACTGAAATTCACAAGCCTTTGACTCCTGTATAAGTTAACCTTAAAACACAGTGGTGTATGGATGTCTGTGGGAGTTGTGCAAGGTTGTAGTTCCAAGTTCGCCGAGGTCACTGTTGCATCGGCGGGGCGCCCTGGGCTGAACCCTGCACCTTCCTATATCGGAGTAAGCCGCACTGAATTCAGTGGGACTTACTTCGGCATAGCCGACTGCAGCATTGCTGTTAGGGCACTGGTGAAAAAATGCCCTAAGAATGCCTTTTAGCAGGGAGTACCTACATGTGAATGTGGAAGAGACCCGGTGTTAAATGGAATGGGCGTTTTAGCTACTAAAGGTTTTTATTTGCATTTCAAGCATAAAGTAGAATTATTACGGGTGCAAATGGTCTCACTCAGTGGCTAAACAGTGAATATTTGGAGGGATGAAGGGCAAATTTAGGGGGACATCTCAGGTGTTTTTATCCTCATTAACTCCACACTTGCTGAATCCATGGAAAGATGCTGTAATTGATGTGGTGCTAACTTTTAAGAGATGGTAATGCTGTGCTTCTCTCTTTTGTTTGCCCAGAATTATGTCCCTACTGTGTTTGAGAATTACACGGCCAGTTTTGAAATAGACACACAAAGGATAGAACTCAGTCTCTGGGATACTTCTGGTAAGGGAATACTTACTGCGTAGCAGGAATGTCTGTTCTGTTTCCATGCCATTCTAGTGACTCATATTGATTTGTGCAATACTCATAAGCCGTTGCTAAAACCTCTGTTAACACTCTGCGGATGAAGTAATTATTTGCCTTCTAGAATTCTTTTGTAATGGACTTCCTCATAGAGCATTGTGACTCTTTTTTAACTTAAAAAAGTGATGGACATATTTGCTATTCCTGATTTTAACTTTAAAGGTCCTTGTGATAATTAGCTGAACAGATGGTGGAGGGTTATTATAGCCTTTCATTTTAATATTTGTCACTACTGCTGTGAAAACCAGCATGCGTTCTCCTTGTGGTAATACATGATATACATAAGCAAGAAGATTAGTAGCTACACAACTGCCTAAGTATGTTATGAGGACTTTTTCATACCGAAGCTTTTCAGCTAGTAAGGACTTCCCCAAATGCATACAATATCTTTAGCTAAATGTAGTTAATTTTGGTAGCCTTGCGGGGGGGGGCGGGGAGCTACTCATGTGCCTAGTCATTGGAAGGGTTTGGCTGTAAAACCAGCAGGGGGTGGCAAAGCTTTTGAAACTGATCCTAACAAAAAGATAATGGAAGTCAAAAGAAGGAGCTGGATTTTTGTGGTGGTTGTGATGGGCAACATAATCTATGTATACTTGTAGGAGGAGTTAGGTATCTCAGGGCAAGAACAGGTTGAAGGTAGATCTGATCTGCCCATAGACTGAGGAACAGCTTACAGCAGATCAGCAAAAGCAGGATATTTTCAGTTAATAAGCAGCAGTGGCAGTGAGAAGGCTTTGTCTTGCACTTGGATCTGTAGTAACACTGTGTAATTGAAACTGCAGCCACAAGTAGAAGTTGTATTCAGGTCTTTTCAGTGTACAGCTTAAGTAGTGCAATAAGTGACTATCCCTCCTTTCTTCCTTAACCACTATTTTGCACTTAGCTCTGGTTGGCAGGTCTTGAGATCCTGCTAATTAAAACAGATCATTGCACAAGTCTGCACTTTGCCAGGGCTAAGATTCCCCTTCTTGGTTGGATTACAGCATGAGATGCTTTCCCTTCTAATCTTCCACTGCCATGCTGCTGACTAACATCCTTCCAAATGGGTTGACTTTCCTGTACATCACCCTCAGGACTATCTTGCTCTTCTGTTGTGATTTACTATTAAGTTCCTGTCACTGTCTTGCAGAACCATGTGCTGCCTTGTGACAGTAGTCAAAAATGGTGGGAGAAATGGGAAGACAAGGCATAACTTGGATCAGTGAGGACTTATTTGAGGGAATGAGAAAGGTACAAGGGCCTTCCAGAGCAAGGGTGGCCACATCTTGTGATCTTAAGAGGCATGCTACACTTGAGGAAAGTGGTCAAGAGGCTAGTTGGCACAATCAGCATTGGTGGTACATATGTATTCATTCAAGCATAGCATTGCATAGAATGTGCTAAAGGAGGTTGTGGCAAAACACCAGTGGAATCTGTTCCTCGCAACTTGAAAATGTTTGTTGTAGCTCTGCTAGGATGCTGACTGGGATTGCAGCAAAGCCCTTATCTAAGATGCCAGGTAGCCATCCCAAAACATGCCAGTTCTGAGTTGTGCTAGATACTTTGTGAGAATGAGTGAATGGATATAATAACCTGGGTATAATAACCATGATGAGTGAATGGAGATAGGATGAAAGACTGAATCTTCTAAAGGAAGCAAAGACAGCCTGGCACTCCCCACATATTTAGGACTACAGCATTCATCATATCCAGTGTTTGGGGATTCTGGGACTTGTGGTCCAAAGCATCTCAAGGGTGCCAGGTTGCCCAGCTCCTGCTTTAAAGAATGTAACTGGTGAAAGACAAACTTGAAAAGTATATTAGGGTCATTCTAAATAGATTCCCTTAATGGCATAAGTGATTTCATTTTCATTTAGTGCTGATGGGGATATAGTAGGCATGTGCTGAGAATGCTTAATTTTTTTTGTAAGTTCCTGCAGAACAAATCCAACGATGGAGATGAGGGCTGTAAAATTTTTGCCTTGATGGTGAAGAGTTAAAGTCTCTTCACTGACATTTATGGCATATTATAGAATATGGAGTGAAAGAATGCTAAGAGTCCTCCTGAGGAGATAGAGACAAAGGAATGTGCAGGGTGGTGAGAGCAACTAGCAAGGGAATGTGAGGGCTGTCTCTCATCACCCAGGAACTGCAAAGGCAGGGAGGGAGTGGACCACCCAGTGAGGTGGGCATCCATCCATCCAAAGCAAAACAGCAGAAGAGATACACAATTAATTGATGCTAGTGTGAAAAGTACAGTTGACTCCTTTATGGCTTTGTCCTCACTTTGGGACCCCGGGAGGGGTTTTGCCTGCCAGTCTCAGGAGCCTGAAGCATGAGATCTGCTTTGTAGCACAAAGGGCTGTCCTATGCGGACAGGAAGTTAACGCTGGTAAAAAGAACGAAGGGGCATGTCTGTGCTTGTCTTGTAAATCTGGCAACACTTGCTTGGCTCTTTTGAAGAAACCACAGTTAAGTTCTTTCTGCCTTAGCAGTTTTAGCTATGCATTACTGCTGTTGGCATTATTAGAATGTGCACTTCCAGATGTGGATGACAGCTGTGAGACTGGCAGTTCTGGCTCCTCTCCCCCCCCCCCCCCGCTGGCTCTCTAAAAGGAATGCTTACTGTCTTTCTCACTTGACTGTGAGAAGAACAAAATTAATCTTTTCTGCCTGCCCCATCATTGTAGAAGGAAAACAAGCATAAAAATGGACAGGTACAGGAAAGAAGTTAATAGAAGTCATTTCAAAGCATCCAAAAGACTTTTTAATTTTAAAAGCATGAGGTTTCAGAAACTACAGGCTACTTTGAGGGTAGTCTATGGAAAGAGCATGACTTTTCAGGTTATCCTTAACAACCAGAACTAAATCCCATTGGACTCAGCAGGATTTCTCTTGAGTAAGCATGTTGATACTGGATTACAGGTGTCATGCCACTCAATCCTGTTGAAATTGGCTACTGGCATTACAGCAGATACTCCAATATGTTTTTTTACATAATAAGGCTAGTTCTACCTGGTCTTGATACAGTTAGGGCATGGCCTTAAGTTTCCAGGCAGGATTTAATAATTACTGCAGGAAGGTTTTTGGCACTTTAAAAACATTCTCAGTGATGTGTGATTCCAGACTTATTTGTTCTGTGATTTTGTTCTTACCCAGCATAGCCCTTTTGACACCTGTTGGTTATCTGGGTTTCATTTCTTCTCATCTGGTGTTCTTATTTGGTTCTAGATAAGAATAAGCAATTTCTACTTCTGAAAATTGAAAAGGATTTGAGAATATCACTGAGTAAACTCCAGATATGAGTAGAGTGATTTTGCTTTAGCATGGGCATTCTCACTGCTTTTTAGGCCTGGCAGCAGAATCCTATCTATGTCCAATCAGAAGTAATATCCAGTAAGATCGGTGGGCATTACTTCCAGCTGTGGGTAGGATTTTGGCCTGTCTTTATTAGCCTGAGTCCAGACCTTGGCCTGACTTCAGCTGCACAGATCTTGCAGGCAATGAAGCGTTCTTGCTTAAGTTGGTCAGAGCTGCAGCAACTGAGGTGGCAAAGAAGATCAACCATGGCTAAAGGCAGAATGTGGTCAGTACTTGTCTGGCTATTGATTCTAATTGGAGGCAACCATGGGAAAATAGTGATCCAGGCTAAAGACAACAAAACTCTGCCGTTTGCAAATGATTGAATTCAGCAAGAGTTTCATCTTTTGGATTGTCTGGAAGAAAGTGATCTCAGCTTTTGTTTGTGTTTTGGCAGCACTATAGTAGTTTTTAAAGTATGGAACTAAGCAAGATGATAAACACAAGCATGATTATATCATTGCTGGTTTCCTGCAGCTCAGTAACTCTCAGAATGCATCTACTGTGTCATGCTTTCCCTAACCTGGGGCACACCAGCATTCCTGACCATCGCCATGCTGGCGGGGGAATCCGGCTGGGAAAGACTATGCTGTGCACTCCACTGGAAAATCATGTGTGGACGTCATTGCCCATGTTAATGATGCCACTTGGGAGATGGTTCTTTTCTTTTTTAACAGTCCTGTTGAATTTGACAGTGGCATTCCCAGGACTTTACAATATGGTTTTATTAGTCTCCAGTGCTCCCATTAAATAAGTGTCTCATATAAATCATCACACATCTTGTATGGATATTTCTGGATGAATTGTGTTCACAATTAGTTGCTGTTTGGCTTCAGGTTTGTGCATTAGCAGGTCTCCTTTTGCCTTTGCCAGAGAGGGCAATAGCAAAGGAGTACAGGCAAAGCAGTGAAGGTCGGAATTTTTGTAGCATAATTCATAGCCGGAGCTGACCTGACTGAAAGCATTTGAGTGGTAATCCATTGACTCCTTAATCTAGAGCAGCCATCCCCAATGTGGTCCTCTAGATGCCTTGGACTGCAGGGCCCATCAGCTCCAGTCAGCCCAGCTAATGATCAAGAATGCTGGGAGGTGTGGTCCAAATCCAGAGGGCACCAAGTTGGGCAAGGTTGGTCTAGAGGTGTTCCTTCTGGAAGCTGCCATACCCTTCTGTAACAATCTGGCAAAACTAAAGTTGCTGCCTGCCAAAAATGTTGTAAAGTGTAGAGGAATGGTAGCCTGCCTTTTTCATGAGCCTGCCACACATTCTGTGCGAGTGCACAGTGCTTATGTAGCTCCCAGTGTCTTAGTGTGGTTTGATCTCTGGTCTAGTACATTGGGGAGCGGATGGCGTTTCAGCACAGGCCTTCCTTTACACCACAGCCAGGCCTGTGATGCCTCTTACTCTTGCTCCTGTTTAGGTGAGCTACAAGCACCTGATGGCCATGATACCTGTCCCACTTACAGCATACAGAAAAAGAATGACAAAAATTATTAATGGGTAGGCATAATATTTTCATCCTACAGTCTACAAAGCTTTCCTGGAAAGATATTCTGGTATTATGTCAGGTATCTTAGGAACA